TGTGTAGGCATATAGAATAATTATCTTGTGACAGTGGTTGTGTTGTTAATGAACTTGAACTGATTGTCATTATGCTTTTAACCTTTATTCGGTGACACAGGTCCAGTTTTATGCAATTCAGTGGGAACCGTAAATACCTATTTTCTTTAAGTAAAAAGTTTGTTCATGTGATAAATGGAACTTCTTAATGATCATAGTTGCATTTATTTCCTTCGCAGAAGAAGGTAGTTGCTAAATGCTGTGTTAATGCATGTATAGTTAAACAGTAAATGCTTGCGTTTACAAATCAGTCACTGTAAAGATTTATCACTAATGTACAGAAAAATCCCTGCATTGAACTGAAATACATTTGATATGGCTAATAGAGAATGCGATGAACCTTTTATGAATGTGTGTTCATGCAAACTAAATAATGGTATCTCTAGAGACCAATTAGTTTCTTCAACAAATAGACTGGTTCCCGTGCTGATTGATGATAGTATCTCTGTATCTTTCAGGTACTGAGTATGGTGGGTTAAGGATGTACTTTTCTCTTGTGCGTGATAAAAGGCCTAAAGCAATGTCACCTGATTTCATGGGCTACAAGAGCCTCTGATATAGCTTATGATCGTAAGAACCAAAAATTTAAAAACTAGTCTGCGAGGAGCTGTGATGCTTCCTGCAAAGTGTTATTTCTTGTTTTTATGTCCATAAGCAAGTAATACTTGTAGGATCACTGGTCTAAAGCACTCATCCAAGGACTGCTGCCCTTATGCTATTTCTGTACCTTTGGGCCCCAATAACGTTATGTATAATTATACGGGTCACTAGTTGAATTTTCTAAGGGGAGGGGAGAGTTTAATTCCAACAGTTTGTATTTCACTACAGCAAATTCTAAATAAAATGTGTAATTTGCCTAGCAAATTGGATTACTAAGGTGTGTAGCTATTGATTGATTTGGACATCTGCATGTTCCTTTCCCCTGGGTAGACAACTACAGATAATAAGACAAAAAATATTATAGAAGAAAAAGCTGTGTTAGAAGCAACATTATTAAGCCACTTGTTTGAGTAACTGAAAATAAATTAGCAGTATGTTTCTGTGGTTTTATATATAGCAAAATTAAACTGAAGAAACCCACTAAATTAAACTTGATTTGTTTAGTTTCAATCTGAAGTTGACCTAAACATACATGTTTTGCTGACACTAGAAATAATATTAACCTAATACTTTACATAAAACTCAGTATAAATACGTATTTTCCTCATGTTATCTGGCAGTATTTGCTCCACTTACTCAGTGAGTCTGCAAATACTGTTAAATAGTGAAAAGCTGTGAGCTTACCCTTAATAGATGCTTTTAAAAAAAGCTGTTTAATGAAATGACAAAATGTGTAAACTTTCCTATTTTCCTTTCATATTTATTTGAAAAAGAAAAGTCTATAGTCTTAACTGCTGGGATCTGTTCTGCAGAGTTACAGAAAGATATGCACTCCAAAACCAGGATGATCCCTGTGTACCTTAGAAAAAGCAGCAAAACAAGTATGTGACTCTTTCTGCTCACTGTTAAGCCCGTAGCCGTGAAAAATTTGAGGTCACAGGCCCTTGGAGTTGAATATCTTGGGAATAATCTGAGTGCTTTCCTACTAGAAACAATGCAGAACATCAGATGACCCATACCCATATTTTGATGGTGTTTATCTCATCTTGCAAGTGTTATAAAATCTCTTTCCTGAGAAGATGTATGTAAAAAAAACTGTAAAACTGTTGAACATCTTCCATTGAGGAGCTTGTGTCTCTCACCTAGTAGTAGATGAGAAGTCCTGAAATTACTCAGACTCTTCATAGAGGCAAAAGGGAGGCGGGGGAGGGAACACCACCACACAAAAAAAAACCACAAACCAACTGGGGGCGGGGGGCAGGAAGAACACAATGAAAACAAGGTGGTTAACAGCAGTTCTCGCGTCTTTGGTAAAAACTAAGCAAAGATGGAAAACATTCTCATTTCTTTGAGTTTTTCTTCAGTGGCTCAGTGCAGGTGGTTGGTATAAGTTTACACCTAAGTGGGTACAGTTCAGGCAGTTTTGTTGTTCAGTCATGGAACAAACTTCTCTGGAGATCTTGAATCATAGTAGTTATGTCCTGAAGAGCAGCTTAAAAAATTTTGCAGGCTATAGGTGTTTTGTTCATGGGAATGATTCTCCAATACATCCAGTACAAGTGTTGCTGTTCTTGCAGTGATGCTAATATAAGGACAAAGCATAGTCAGTCATACCAGAAACCACCTACACAGGCTCTAGAAATACACCGATGAAATTCAGTAAACTGCTGACACATGGGTTTCTGTGTTTCTCATAGATTAGAGTGGATTTTTGTATTAATTTACTGGCATTCCATTGGAAAAGATTATCCAAAAGTGGTTCTCCAAAACAATCTCAGAACAGCAGCTTCTGCAAGTCACTGCCCATAGAAAAATACAGCAGATTTTACTTGGAGAGAACACGATACTGTATTAGCTAGAAAGAAGAACAATTATTATCATTGTACCAAACTTCCAAGTTCGTTCTTCTCTGCTGAAAACAATGGAGAAATAGATATGAATCCTTGACCACAAATCCTGATATTTTCAGGAATACAGGAAATACAGAATATTTTCATTCTGTAATTTCCTATTGACATTGACAGGAGGTCAGCAATTTGTGTTAACTTCTACTCCCCGATGCATGTTAAGACTTCAGAACGTGCTTAGTTTTACAAAGCTCTCTATGTACCCAGCTTCCCTTGAATTCAGCGGAAGGTTTGTGGGCTTATAAAGCAGCAACAAAATTAATCCAGTGTTGAGAACTTTTTAAACTCTTGTCCTAGAAAACTAGCACTGATTTGTACAAAAGGTTAAAGCCTTTAGATCACACTACCAAAAAGGGGAAACTGTTTCCAGTGTGCTGTTGCCTAGTACCAGTTACCTGAACAGAAGCCAAAATATCCTCCTGAGAACTGGCTTTAAACAAGCAATTTATGAACAAAATAACAATTGATTGAAAAATCTTGAAGTAAGAAAGTGTGCAATATTTAAAGTTGTTTGGTTTTTATTATCAGACTCCTCAGTGTCTGAAGAGAGTCCACTTGAAAATAAAGCTTCATTTTCTGTAGCTGTTCCACATCCTATACATACATTATTTTTAATTACTGGTGTGAAAAATGTAACAATATTAGTATGCAGGAGGTCAGGCTGCTCTTTACTTGGTATTTCTTATATTGACTCATCATGTGTGAGTCATTGCACGTAGGTTCTTGGGTCCTTCCCTCACCTCCATATTATGGTACTAGTGTTTTAGCTTAATAAAATTTTAAGGCAATTTTTTATCTCGAATTCTTGCATGTGCAGCTTGTAGCCTGTGAAACAACAGTACTTGAGGCAACCTTCAGTTTCACTCTTCGTTGTTTCTAAGGAAAGAAGTATTACCTGTAAAATGAGTCTGAATGGGTCTTTTGTCCTTCTTTTTCCTTACAAAACCGATAGCAAAATAACCCTTCAAATTAATCACAGAATCGATTAGGTTGGAAGAGACCTCTGGGATCATTGAGTTTGGGTTTTATTTTTTAACTTGGCAATATTTTTGAAGTAGACGCTCTTTTTTAACAATAAAAGCAGTAGGTTTATGTTTATTTTCACTTGTCTTTGTGAAAGAACGGCAGTGTTATAACAGCAGATTTGCTGTAGTGCTCAGTTCAGCTTCGTGTGTTGAACTAGTTTCGTACCTTTACCAGCATAATTCATTTTAAAGTGTTATATGTTTGGTTTTACTGCTGTGAAAAAAGGTTCTGTGTGATTACAATATTTGGGGCAGTTTAAAAAACTGGCAGTGACAGTGTGCCTAGTGTTTAATCCTTTGTATTGGCTTTCTGGCTCTCGCAGTTCCTTTGCATATGTCTAGACAACAGATTGCTAGGTAACAAATTCGTGTAAGGTAAATTTAAGTTTTAAAGCTTGTGGAAGACACCAAGGGACTACTGTATTGCAAAAACCTGAATTTTTACTAGTCCTTTTGCTGAAAAGGTTAAAGGATAGGACAAAATATTTTTTTTTGTCCTACATATATTTTAATACATATTAGGTCATACTGATAATGTGTAACTTTGTCTGAAGAGTTTTCAGTTTGTACTGTGGTTCGTGTTATAAACATTCACCAGCAGCTCACTCCAGAAAGAGGATAATCCCTTCTGTTGAGAGGCAGTATAAAAGGAGTACTGAAAGTACTGAGCATTTAAAATGGATAAATGTAGAGGAGAAATGCAGTTCTATTGAAAACTTGAAAAAACTACCACATTGTGTGCCACAGAAGAAACAGAGAAACTGGTAAGTTGATTTGGATGGTAAAGCTAAAGGCTTAGAAGATATTGAGCCTTGTTGGGACTTAAAATACTAAGGTTTAAATAAAGTATGTTGTCACATGAAACACCACTGGTGCTCTATGTGGAGAAGGGTCAAATGTAGATAGATCAGAGCAGCATAAAATAACTGCAGTAACAGTGTTTGAGGTGCACTTGTAAATGAAATATTACTATAATATGGAAAAAAATGGTGAATTCATACAGACATGTTGTGTGGTGTCAATCATTTATTCTTTAGGGAGATACTGTGGCTTCTGAAGAAAGTTAATCTATATTAACATGAGACTGTTGTGAAGAAACTGTGTGCACATGTGAATGGTTTCATTGATTTAGTAGAAAAGTTTCCTGAAATGGTATGAACATAATGCTTAAAAAATAATACATAGCAAAGTATGTCCACGGCTTCCTTGTATTCCCCAAATATTACGTTGCCATATGGTACTTGTTTATAATTTCTTACTCAAACCATATTATTAGCAAAACAATAACTTATCTTGTTATCAAAATGCAACTAGATGGTAAACTAGCAGATAACACATCAGCTCTACAACATTATAAATGAAAATAATTGTATTTAATACAAAGCATATATATATTTGAAGGTTCTAATAGTTTCTTTTCATATTGCAGGAAACAGCATACTCCATTCAGCAGCAGACAGTGTGACAAGTGCAGTACAGAAGGCAAGTCAGGCTTTGAATGAGCGTGGCGAAAGGCTAGGACGAGCAGAAGAAAAGACAGAGGAGCTGAAAAACAGCGCTCAACAGTTTGCAGAAACTGCACATAAGGTAAGATTTTGGTGGGATAAGGCTCTCAGTAGGTCAAAGTCACACATTGCTTTATTTTGAGAGGAGGAAGCTCTAGAAAGAATTGCAGTCAGTCACTGTTTACGAACAGCTTGCTGTTTTCCTTGATACTGTTCCTCACTTGGCAGACTTCTGGTTTATAACTTTTTTTGTGCATAGATCTGAGGTTTACTGCATTTCCATTTGAGTTGAAACTACCTAACTTCACCTTCATGAAGCATATTTCAAATCCATCTTCCCACTACTGTTTGGTACTATTCCACGTACTTTGTGCAGCAGTATAGTGAAATTGTTGTTAATCCCGTTTGATAAGTGGTCACAGATCTGTGACCGTCTGTTTCTGAAGATGTATCCTTTTATGTCTCTAAATGTTATTTATGAGGATTTTGAGGAATTGTTCCATATCTGTATGGACATTCCCTGTTCTTGGGTAGAAGGTTTTGATAGTACTATGCCTGTTGCTTCTGCATGTGCATGATGGTGCTGAGCTTTCATCTCCGTGACAGAAATTCTCGGCATCAACAGCATTCAATTTGGTGGCTATGTAACACATCCATAGCAGACAGAATGCTTTTAAAAAAAAAAAAAGTAAAAGCTTTCTGAATGTGAGCAACCATTTTAGCATGCAAGTTTGATAGTTTTGGCACTTAGCACATGCATTAGACTTTATCATGCTTATGCCAAAAAATGCGTGGCTACTGCATTAACACTAGAAATCCTGTATTGATATCTTGCAGTTCTATACAACTCTCTGTCTTATGTAGTCTTTATAATGTCACAAAACAACTTATTTTAATATTTACTGGGATAATCCTCTACTTTGTGGTCCATTAAGATTAGCATTGTTCAGCTTAGCAACCTGACTATGGTACAAACCTGCTTTTGGACGCTTCCACCTACCGCCACTTTTTTTCTCTGCCAGCCCTTCCGCATGCTCCTATGACCATAACTATGCCAACTTAGAAAACCAGCCTTAAAGAGCAGTTACCACTGCTTCTAGGATAGGGGGCAAAAGGTTTGCTGCTTTAGAGTAAAGCATAGAGTGCCTGGTAGGGAGTTAAAAAATGAAAAATGTCTCTGATAGTTGGGCTGCTATGAATTTTGATTAAGATTTGAATAGGTTTCATTAGTGTGTGTTACCCTTTCATCTTCCACATGTGCAGAACAGCAGTTCCACAGATGAAGGCATGCTGTGAACAGAAATAAACCTTTTCAACAGGTTCTGTTAGGAAAATTTTAATCTGTTAGGAAAATCTCGGGATTAAAGGATGCAGTATTGTAATAAAAATACCATCTCTGATAGCCTGTGCTGTACCATATTTAGAAATAAAATCCTCGTGTAATAATTCAAGACAAAAATTTGAGGGAAGTATAGCAGAAATGGTAGAGAAGCTAGAAACATTCACAATACAAGTGTTTTATTAATTAAATAAAAAATACAGGAAAGTATTCAATCAGGGTTTTGTACATAGTCATTTGAGTTTACATGTCTCTGTGGCAGTAAGTGAGAACGGTTTCTGCAGGAAATATCCAAGTGATACAGAATAGAAGAGTATAATCTCCATTTGGACTGTGTGCTGGGCTGAGATTTACGAAACCTTCCTGCCAGTCCAGTGCTACAGATTACCAGTCTTCCTCAGATGAATATGAGGCCATTTGCTGTTGAAGCTATCCCAATTACCAGCTGCCTGAAACAGGAGTGTGACAGTCTTTCAGTGGATGATAGTTAAGGATTAGTAATAAATGCTTGGGTTTTGTCCATTTCACAAGAAAATAATATCTTTGTGTTTGAAGAAAACAAAATACAGTTTAGTTCTTGGAGCACTGCAAATGAATATTTGTCATCTTAATGATTATAAGCATAACTTAGTAAAATGGGGTTTACAACTTTTTTTTTTCTTGCAAATTTTTTTGTATTTGTGCCCCAAGTCTTGAATTGTATCTTAGAGATGCAATAGTCCTGCAATTCCTTTACTGTTATCTCACAAAAATGCATAGGGCAGCCACCCAGGAGTGTATTAGGTTAGAGAGACTGTTGTTTTATGGTGGTGTGCTTTGGTTTGCAAGAGAGTTTTGTTGGAGCATTTAGGAATAAGTACAGTATTGTTTACTGTTAATGTTACTCTAGTTAAACCTTTGAGGGGCAACTGCTACTCAGATGTTGTTTGTACGGAAAAGAAAACAGTGAAACCAGGAGAGTGAGGTCCAGCTGAGTGTTGCTTAAATGGCAAAATTGTAACTTTCTGGCAAAAGGGTGACAGTGAAGAGAAAGGCACCAATTTTAATTTACTGGTATTTCTGAACACTTTGTACAGCAAAGCAGAGTTCCCATTTTGGTTGCTTTATAGTTTCCTTCAGTAAAACAGTAAAAGTACTTTGTGTTATTGTCAACCCATAATTAATTTTGCCACTGTAGTACCATGACTGAATACAGATTTCTTACAGCTTCATTTGTATGTCTAGATATTACTTGGGCAACAAACAGGAGGAGTTAGAAGCCATTATGCAGCTGGAAAACTATGATATAGTTGCAATCACAGAAACATGGTGGGATAACTCGCACAACTGGAGTGTTGCAATGGATGACTATAAACTCTTCAAAAGGGATGGGCAGGGAAGGAAAGTCAGTGGAGTGGCCCCTTTTTGTTAGGGAGTGTTTCAGTTGTCTAGAGCTTGATGATAGTGACAATAAGGTTGAGTGTTCATGGGTAAGAATCAGGGGGAAGGCCAACAAGGCAGATATCATGATGGAAGTCTGCTATAGACCACCCAACCAGGATGAAGAGGTAGATGAAATATTCCATAAGCAGCTGGGAGAAGTCTCACAATTGCTAGCCCTTGTTCTCATGGGGGACTTCAACTTACCAGATGTCTGCTGGAAGCACAACACAGCAGAGGGGAAGCACTGTAGGAAGTTCCTGGGGTGTGTGGAAGAGAACTCCCCGACACAGCTGATGAGGGAGCCAACGAGGGAAGGTGCCCCACTGGACCTGCAGTTTGTGAACAGAGGAGGACTGGTGGGTGATGTGATGGTTGGAGGCCATCTTGGGCATAGTGATCACAAAATGGTAAGAGTTTTCGATTCTCGGAGAAGTAAGAAGGTGGGTCAGCAGAACTGCTACCTTGGACTTAAGGAGGGTGGACTTTGGCTTGTGTAAGACCTTGGTTGACAGAGTCCCTTGGGAGGCAGTCATGAAGGTGAAAGGGGTCCAGGAAGGCTGGGCATCCCTCAAGGAGGAAATCATAAAGATGCAAGAGCAGGCCATCCCCATGTGCTGAAAGACGAGCTGGCAGGGAAGACCAGCTTGACTGAACAGAGAGCGTCGGCTGAAACTCAGAGGAAAAAAAAGGAGAGTTTATGGCCTTTCGAAGAAGGAGGCAGGCAACTCAGGAGGACTACAGGGATGTTGTGAAGTTATGCAGGGACAAAATGGGAAAGTCAAAGCCCTGGTAGAACTTAATCTGTCTACTGCCATAGAAGACAATAAAAAATGTTTCTATAAATACATCAGTAACAAAGGGAGGGCTAAGGAGAATCTCCATCCTTTAGTGGATGCAGGGGGACACATAGTGGTAAAAGCTGAGGTACTTAATGCCTTCTTTGCCTCAGTCTTTAATAGTGAGACCAGTTGTTGTCCAGGTACCCAGCCTCCTGAGCTGGAAGACAGGGACAGGGAACAGAATGAAGGCCCCATAATCCAAGGGGAAATGGTCAGCGACCAGCTACACCACTTGGATGTGCACAAGCCTATGGAGCCGGATGGGTTCCCCCCAAGGGTACAGAGGGAGCTGGTGAAAGTGGCTCGGTGAGCACTTCCCATCATTTATCAGCAGTCCTGGCTAACTGGGGAGGTCCCAGTTGACTGGAGGTTAGCAAATGTGACGCCCATCTGCAAGAAGGGCCAGAAGGAGGATCATCCAGGGAATTACAGGCCTGTCAGCCTGACTTGGGTCTGGGGAAGGTCATGGAGCAGATCATCTGAGTGCCATCATGCAGCACGTACAGGA